TGGTGGTGGTAGGGGGGGGGGGTTCTGGGCGAGGTGGCAGAACTGGGCGGGGTGGGGGGGCGCGGGCCCCGGGCTGTCTGTGTCTGAGCGGGCCGTGTGGTGCAGGTGGGCCGGGTGGGGGGTGTGGGAGATGAGGGTGGGGTGCGGGCTCTGGGGGGTGGGGCTGGGGGACTTCAGCCGCCTGCTGCCAAACAAAGAGCCCAGCAGCGAGGAGGAGGTGGCCAGAGACTGACCGCTGTGGCGGGAGGGACAGTCCCGGCTGGAGGGGGGTCTGCGCCGGACGTGGGGGCTGCTAATGATGGAGCCCTGCAGGGACAAGGTGTTCAGAACACACACACACACACACACACACACACACACACAGGTGATGTACACACTGCCACAGGAAACAGCCAATCCTGACAGTTTACAGTAAAAAACATAAAAAAAATGGAGAGACATTTCTCAGCAGCTGCTGTTGATATAAAAGCTTTTACAAATTCTCAAACGCTTTTACAAAGTTTTAAACAAATGAGCGTTTAGAAAACAAATTACATTTCGCGAAACAACTTTAAATTAAGGAGAACAAATTTACATTTAAAAAACAAATTCACATTTTGCATGATAAAACAACAAGATGCGAAAGACAATCACTTTTGACCAAATCAATAAGGAATGTACCAAGTTCCAGGCTGACCTGGAAGTGGTTAAAGAAGCACTGGAAGACTATCAACTCCCAGTTTGACCCTGAAGTAACGGTCAAATTCTGAGGATCGAGCACATGATAAACAAAAACATCCTAATCTACTCATGTGTGCCACTAAAGTTCCACTTGATTCCAGTCCAGCTTGGGTCATGTGAGTGCTTCTTTAATTACTTCCTGGCCAAACTTGGTTTTGCTATGATCCTTTTCCAGTTGATTTGGTCAAATCTAAAATATCTTGTGTCTTGTTATTTTGTTTTCCAAAAGGCAAATTTGTTTTCCAAAATATACATTTAAAATTTGTTCTTCGAAATGTAGTTTCCCAAAATGTTACTTTGTTTAAAACTTTGTAAAAGTGTGTTAGTATTGATAAAGGTGTTTCTGGGTTTGTAATGTGGTTTGGCTCCTCCGGGCTACCGTAGTTCTGGATGATCTGAGTCTCAGCCGTGAACGTGCTGCCAGGAGCACACACAGCCTCTCTAGACCAGACTCTGCCTGTTATATCCCGTTTGGAGACACTTAGGTTTTTACACTTTCCTCTTAAATGTTCAAGTGTTGCCTTTGCAAATCCTGGACAGAAGAACATGCAGACTTACTACTATGATACACCTCATGTAGAGGTTTCTAAATTTCTACTGAGCAAACAAAAACATAAAACTTCACATTAGACTATTCCAGGCAAACCAACACAAACTGACAACATAAATACAGACTGAAACAGGTCCTTCAGGAGCCATGCAAAACATGCAACAGAAACAACTCAATTGGGGTTGGAAATATCTATTATAAGTCAATTTTTGACGGTGGGATCTGAATTTTGCTCGTCTGCATCCCCCCCACCGTTGCAGTGGTTGTTGAGTTAATGTGTTTTATCCACTCTACACCTGTCTACAACTGTTATAGTGTCAAATGAATCCTGAAAAGGGTTTGCCACTCTCAGTAATGCTTGCTCATGTATCCATATTTCACAAATGACCTCCTTTACTGTTTCAAACATTGGGGTTGACCTCCATTTTATATTGTATTATTAGATCAGATTAGATGTCATAATCATTATTTTCAACAATGGAATTATTACCAGTTCCTAATTTCGCAATTAACAGATTGGAATTTTTTACTGAAGTTTGTCTGAAATCACTATGCAGAAGATGAAGGTACTTTATGGGATAAAAAATTAAAAGTCTAAAGATGCATTTAGTTGGCATATTTTTCTTAAAACCGAACCTTACTATAAGAGTTCCACAAAATTATGTTTCTGTTAAATGAATTGTGTGATACATTTCCATATAAGGTTCATATAAGATTAATGCACACATTTTTTACTGGTTACACTTTGTTTCCTTAATCTAATTTAAATAATAATAATTTTGCTGAAAAAAGATTTAGATGAAAACTATATATCTATCATTTGGACTAGTAAAAATATGTGATTCTTGAGTTAAGCACCTAAAAAAAAGTACAAAATATGCGTAAATGAACCTATTTTGTTCCATTCCATGTATGATCCATCATCAGTATAAAAAGATAGCATCCTGTAGTGATGGTAGAGGGCAGTTTAAGTCTGTGTTAGCCTACAGAAGCTGTGTCTGATAGTAGTCAGACCAGCTCCGCATGCACAAAATAGGGAAACAATTCAGTGTAATGGCTTAAAATCAATTTCTCAACACAAGAGAGGATTATATGAAGCTCTTAACCAAACATTGAGGCCCTGGTGGAAGTAAGAGGTGGAGTTAGTTGTGTCATGCTGTGTAGATCAGGCTACAGCCAGTGTGTGATTACTGTTCAGCCAAGAGCATGCACAGCATTCAGGGTGCTCACAACATAAAAACCACTGTAAAAACAGAAGAACACCACAAATAAAAAAAGCAAACATGAAGCTGTGTGCCCGGAGGGAGCAGCATGAAGGCGGATAACGGCTTGGCTTTGGTGGCTTCCAACTTACTTCCAGATTGCTGTCTAGTGATCCTGCACTGCTGCGTCTCCCACGCTTGCCTGCCCGGAACACGTAACATGACAGATTAGGTACGCCTAGTTCAAATGGGCAGGTGCACATACCCCTTACTTCTATTTTGGGAGAATTGCTACTGCGGCATGGTGGCACCTGGATGACTAGCATCTGACTGTCAGTGTATCAGAGGGAGTAGCACTAGAAGGAAAGGGAGGAACAAGCCACTGCTCCTAAATTATGTTTCTATCAAGCAACTCTATCCGCTTTTTTACAACCCTAAGTACTGCTGGCAGGAGACCATCCAAACAGCAAATGGGACGTAATCTGGTGGGATTAAAAGGATTCCCCAACAATTTAGCCTCATGAGAATAACGTTTTGAATCCATGTATCACAAGTGAAGATTTTTAAAGTTTCTAACAGGTCCAACATTCAAGATATTCTTAAAATAAAGGGATTTCTTTATTAGTCCCACAAGAGAGTTTCGACTCTTTTGGACTATTCAACCATGACACCACAAACACTATTCAAAGAGTACAAACCCTCCGTGCAACTGTTTTTTGTTGTTCAGCATACCATGCTCAGAAATTTCAAAAAGTCCTGTATATCTTCAACAGGGAATCTTCATTAAACCTTTTTAACCAGTCCACAAGAAACAGCTATAATGATAAATACAACAAGCAACCAGTTTCTGCTAATTCTAACCCTGAAGAGTGTGTTTGTGTGGAGTTCTTCTGCAGCATTATCTCTGCACACCCGGCCTGAATCAACAGCACAACATTAATTCCTCTTACTGCTAAGACGCTCAGATTGATCAGTGTCCTACATAACACGGCCCCACCCACCACTGCTGAGACAGGATTATGAGTTGATAGTCACTAGTAAATTACACTTAGGCCCATTAGAAAACATGCCCATCTCAATCTCTACCTCACTAGTTTAGTAATACTGTGTATGCAATCCAGTGTTTATTACTTTCTTCAAAATCAAAATTCCATGGGGCTTCCTCCAAGTTTGGGAAATAGTCAGCGTGAACAGAATCGTGCCAGCATCTGCTCGGGTCTACGTTCTATTCTACCAAACACAATGGCACATCAGATGTTGTATTGCCATGGCAACCTCAGCCTTTACCTGCATCTGAGAGGTCCCGCAGGGAGCTGCTGAGGGCACTCCTCTTCAGCCCCTCGCTGATGGCGTAGCTGTCGTCCAGGCTGGCTCGGCTCAGGTTGCCGTTTCCAGTGTCCTTCTTTAACCCAGAGCTCTGGGACAAGCTGGGCCGCACCACTCCTTTCTGTTTTTCTAGTTCAGCTGTGCAGGAAACACATCACCAACATTTAGACTCCATCTTTTTACATGTTGTATTCAAATGAATGTGAAACTCTGATATACAGTATATTGTTATCCAAGAATATATGGAGAGAAAATGAAAAAATCATGTGCTCACATTCTATCCTGTACTTCTCCATCTCTTGCACTTCTGCGATAGATTCTCGCAGATCGTCTGTGAACCTTTTGCGATCCTGAGGATTGGGGGCATTGAAATTGATGAGGACTTTAATGTCTGCTCCAGGTACGGCGGAGGTCAGGCGAACTCCATTGGGATAATCTAACGAAATAAATAAAGCCATTTTTAAACATCCAAAGTTTCAAAAGAGTGTTTGCTTCAATGCATAAAAATCCATTGGTACAAACTTTTTAAAAATTCTATTGTGGAAACTTATGCAACCTTCAAGAAAATGTACAACTAATGTTGTGAAACATTTAGACAAAAAAAAAAAACTATCCAGAGGAAATGAGATCCTTAACAGATGCCACTTACACTGATTCTCAAAGAGCAGCACCTGCATGCCATAAAGTGAGAAGGACTGCCGAAAACTGTATGTCACAGAGTTCTTCTTCTTCTGAAAAATCTTTGTCACCTACAAAGAAACACACCATATACAGAGGTTTAGACTCTCTTTAATGGGATGTCCAGGTTAGCTGACAGTGTTCTGGAACAATAAAGTGTGTGCTGTACCACGAGCAAGTCGTTGAACAGGAAGATCTCCCTTTGGTGCACGCCCAACTTTTGAGGTTTGTTGGGATCCGGAGCTTCAAAAAGTCGACAGTAGCAAACCAGTCTCCGGTGGGGTAATGATAGTATCTGTGCAAACAATCCATCGTCATTTTCAGTTCATCTGAAATGTGCATGTTCATACTTTCCATTTATAGCTGTCTCATAAAGCTTTGTAACAAATATCCCCATAAAGTAAATAATGGCAATACTCACACAGCCAATACCTTGGTGTAAGGAGCCAATCTGTAGAGTGAGAAAAGAATTAAAAGCATTATATAGATTATTGAATACTTATAGAATCCTTATAATAAAACAAAGAAGGATTTTTTAATGGTTCACAGAGCATACATATGACTGTCTTTTAAAGGCCTTTGACTGTTTCCAGTTTTTGTTAACTTGAGTAATGGTGAACGTATTATCAGGATCTCTTGGCACATTTGTGATCAAGAACACGCGAGTTTTAGAAAATGGCCATCAAATGGCAAAAGGTAAGAGTTTGGTTTTAAATAAACACAATACATATTGAAGTACTTTTTCTCATTTGTTATTATGGAGCTTGTCAATTGGCAAATATATTTGTGGCTAACGGAGAGAAAAAGAAAAAGTAGAGTTTTTAAGCATAAAAGCCCCAGTCCCTAAATAATGAATGGGTCACACAGTGTAGTATGTACATTTAGAAAAAGAATGGTCTATCATTTCTGCTCATTTTTGGAGAATGTTGGTCACGAACAAGTCAGGAGACTTTGTACCGGCAAAGAAGAGTTCTAGGGTGATTCCATTCTGAATGCTGTGGCTCGATTCAACTCTTGAATGGAATGCAAAATAAAAGTGGTCACACTCAACATGCAGCACCCCAAGGGTGAACTTAAACGTACCGGCTTTTTTCCAACAATTAGTTTTTCCACTTTCTGAACCTGGGACACATGGTCTTCATTAGTCTTGAGCTCCCGCTTGCGAATGCGCTCATATATCCCCACAAGCATTTCTCTGGGAATGTCCTCGCCATCATCCACTCCTGTCAGAGGACGGGGGGGAGAGAGAAGGAGAAAAGGCAGGATCCATGATTGATTTACAAATGTATGAATGCAGATGAGCTCTGCTCACACTGTGCTGTGTGCACATCTCACTGAGCAGCAGAAATGTCCTTCAGGGCTGTGAGCACGAGTGTTTCTCCTTCACCTAATATTGTACTTTAATTACAGACTCTCCAATATGCTCACAAATGAGTTAGTCACGCAAGACAGCCCTTTGGTAATACCTCCAAAATCTGTTTAGGGCAATACAGTGCTTTCCTTGAACAGCAAGGCTTTTCTGTATTATTCTCTAGAAAATTAAATAGTTTAATGACAGGGCCACTAATCAAGGCAAAATACAAGTTCAAACTATATTTGAGGTGAATATTAATTTTTCAAAGACAGAAAGGTATGGAAAATACTGCTTTTGTCGCATTAACTGGAAGTTAAATAAGCACCTCGAAGATTCTTCACAAAGTCCTCCAGTTTCATCTTCCTCTCAGGCTTGACGTTGGGGCTGTACATGTCCGTGTTGAGGAGGATGATGGCAAAAGCCAGGATGAAGATGGTGTCTGGGTTCCTGAACTGCCGCACCACACCTGGGTTACAGATGCAGTAGCGTTGACTGCAAAGAGATATCATAGAAAAAACAAACTATTTTAAAAAAGGAGCAATACATTAAAACCCATTTAAAACAAGAACACTTACCGGTACTTTGAAATAAAACAATTAAACTGTTTACATGCACTCTTCACCGAACCATGTATGTCCACTGATAAGCACCACTATCTTCCTCATACCATTTACATGCCAGAGGAATTTCAATAGTGACAAAAGTACATCTTATGCCACAAAGCTGTGCACTATGTGAGAAAATGTTCAAGTTGTTCATCATGCATGTAATTTTAGCTGATCACAGAAAATAGATTGTCGAAAGGTTACTTGAATGATTTTGTTTTGTTCAGAATGAGGTAAGGATTTTATCCGAGAATGATGAAATGTTTAAAAAGCTTTAAGCCACCTTGAGCTGACACATATTTTACTGAGCTGATCCACAATGACAGTTTCTGAAGTACTTAATAGCCTAAATACAGTGAATTGCAATAATTGAATCAGAACAACTTTGCTTTATTGTATGTACAAAAAGATGAAAAGAACAAAAGTAATAAAATTCAATTTTGGAGCATTTGGAGCACTTAGGCCCATCTGTGTAAAATGTAGCAAGTATGTAGAAGAGAGTTTGATCCAACACAATACGTGTGTTTACTCACGATTTACGGGCCTGATTTTGACATTTCTTGACTTTGCATAATTAATTATTCAGAACTTAATCAAGGAAAGATGATCCTATTCCATAAAGTGAGACTGTACTGCAGCTCATTGGATCATAAAAGGAGCGTGCGCAGGTCTGAGATGCTCTTTTTAGGTTAGAGGCTAGTTTTGACTATTGACAACAACACAATGCTACATGAACTTGTACAGTGGAGAAGGAATATGTGGAGTGGTATTATGGTGTTATCTCTTTTGTTTGTGAGAATGAGACAGTAGCTGAAGTCTGGCAGCAGAGCCTGCAGCCGTCAGACAGATCCTCTCTGAGACACCATGAAGTGACTGGCAAATGTTGTGATCATATCTGGACACAGCTGCTGGCGAGTGGCAGATGACCGGTTATCATCACCTCCCTAGTGTAACGGTGACTTCAGTTTTTAGTCAGGCTGAAATGTCCTTGCTTCGAGCACATCTCTTTGGGGACATGAGAGCACCTTTCTACTAACAGTTTTTGGGAAAATAATGAAGCACAAACAACATTCATCAGCAAGCCTGGCTGACCTCTTCTTCAGCCTTTAAATTCTTTTTGCAAGGATCTGGTTTAACAAAGTCTCAATTCGAAATGCCTTTGCACTGCTCTGATGTCTCCCGTTCACAAATGTCTATTAAAAACAGTGACTTTTCGATTTCAACTCTGTTTTAGGGAATAATGTTATTTACGAACACAGCTTAAAGCTTGCATTTGTTAGTTATTTATGTAATACTGGTGGTTAATAAACATATAAACAATGCTTTTGCGGTATAATGCAGTCTGTAAACAGTGTGTCTAATTAATTTAGAATAACTGGGGAAGGAAAACCCTGTTATGCACATAGTCTCCTGCTTTGAAAGTGGTTTCTCACCTATAGGCCTCTATCAGCCGCTCAACCTTCTGGGCTTCTCCCTGCACTCTGATGTGTGCCTGGAATTTCCTGAGTGCTTCATCCAGCTCCATAGCTGAGAAGTCCATTTCATCCACCACACAGCTGAAAAAAACAGTTACTCATTACAGCTACTTGCACACTTTCACATTCAACACAAGCACAACATGTATGCTGGTGTAAGAAAGGACTCTTCAGTTTGCACTTCAAACTAAATATCTTCTGTCAGCTTTTAAAGGCTATAATATGATCATGTTATATGAAAGTGATCAGATGCAATTATTTGATCGTAAGCTGAATGTTGATAGCCTTCATGTCTTTATAATACTGTATTACATTAAGTTACGAGCCATTAAACCAAAAAGATATCCCTAAAGTGGACTGAGTATCCCTAAAAATGTAATTCTTGTGTCTAAATAGAGCTTCAGTGAAGTTGGACAGATAATTCTGTGTTTAAATGCAATCATGGATTGTGTGATATTAACTCATTTTTGTAACACTTGACTATTCTATTTGAATTCAATCAAAGGTTTCTATCTTTACTTACAAGATTGCAGCTCACTTATTCAGAGTGATGCAGTGAACCCTTACATGTCAGATTAGATAGATATTTCCAAAAAAGCTATTTGGTCTGTCTGTCAAACTGACACCAAGAGAATTTTTTCTGGCTTTATCCTCCTTAAAGCTTTATGTGCATTCAAAACTGAATCACACGAGTCTCTTGTCTAAATCAAAAGGTTGATGTAATCCAAAGGACTCTTTATTGGCTATCTTTACCCTTAGCCAATGGGGAATATAAATAGGAACTGTATGTTTATCTTAGTATCACAGCAATTTCCTGAGCGGAGTCTATTTCTGGTTATTTCCTGGATGTAACTTGAGTGATTATGCAGTCTTACTCCAAAGGCTAGATTGCAAACCCCTGTTTACAGCTAAGTGACGATTCATATTCATATTCATTAGAGGTGGATACATGATTCTGTGTTCAGGCATAGGTTGCAAGCCAAATCAAAAGCTTGAAATCCTCCATCTGGACACAGTGCTGTGCCAAAGAGAAGACTAAAAAGAACCACTCACTCTAGAACATCTCGGTTGAACTGTTTCTGTCTGTTACCCAGGAACTCGCCAATCATCTGCCTACTCAAGCCTTTCCTCTGGAGCAGAAAGTGAGCCACACCCACCGGAGTGTCTGGAACAAAGTTCCGCTCTATCAGATACTGGATGCCTTTTTCTGGTTTCCTAGAGAAATGAGGAAGAGAGGCCAGAGTGGGATACAGAGAAACAAAAGGAGAGGACATCATTCAAATCTGCCATTATCCCACTTCACACTTCTGCCCAGAACCAAATGTGTGTCACAAGCAGGATGGGATTTAGGGAAGCTAAGGGGGATGGATGTGGGGGGGGGGGGGGCTGAGAGTGGAGAATAGCTGTTCCTCTCTGTTGTGTTGATCAGACATGATTAAAATGAAGTTAATGGCTGGCTCTGAAAGAAACCAAATCCACAATGATCTCTGATTAAGTGTCAAAGAGTCTGATATAAGATTCCTCATCCCAACAAAGATGAACAGAGACAGAACAGACTCATACACTCTTGCATGCTGGAGTAGAACCTGCTGACCGGCAGCTAGATTTGAACCGGCATCACTGAGACTTGCATAAAAGTTTCATGTTGGGCTCTTTTACAACAGGAAGTAAAATTCACTGAATAATTGTCCATGCTCTTTTCAAACAAAAAGGTGTTTGCTAACCAATGTGAAGGGCACATACTTGTTGAAGAGGTTCAGGCCGATGCGGTAGTGCCTCTTGCGGATGAGGTCGTTGCTGAAGGCGGGGGAGTCCCAGCTGTTGCGGGTCTCTTTGTGGTAGGTCTGTTTGCTGAGGGTCTGCTCCCTCAGGCTGTCCCTGGACGAGGACTCGGAGCTGCAGTTGATGGTGTCGTTGGAGTTGGACGTGCTGTTGATGCTGTCGTTGTCCCCGTCAGAGAAGTCCGACTCGGACTTGCTCTGCCGGTTGGCCGTGCCGTTGATGGCCAGGTGAGCGTCCAGCTGCCGGGGGCGCTGGCGGGGGCCGTCCTCCTCTCTGGAGGGCCCTCGGGGGGGCAGGGCATGGCTGATGTGTTTGGGGCTGCTCTGCTGTTTGCTCAGATTCCGCTCATAGGCGTTCTGTCTTTTCAGAGAGCTGCGGTCAGAGCGGTCACTCAGCTCCACCGAGCTGTCACTGGGGGGCTCTATGGTCAGCAGGGGCAGGTGGTCCACCCGCAGACGCTGCTCCTGGCACTCTAGAGAGGGGGTGCTGCGGCAGCTGGTGTCCGTATCCCCTTTGTCATCCTTATGAGCGAGTGACCAGTAGTCCTGGGAGGAGTTGAGGGAGCGCTGCCGCGGGTCAGACTCCGTGCTGGACGGCCGGTCTACGGACTGGGACAGAGGTAAGGGGGGGGACAACTCCTCCTCGTCAATGTAGAGGGTGACGTCACTGTAAGAGGCCGTCATCTCGTCCAGTTTGCGGTGGTCTGCAGAGCCCCGGGGGGGGTTACTCTGGCAGCTGAGCTCCCGGTCCTGGGGGCCTCCCGCACTCTCTGATTGGCTGTCCTCACCGTGCAGGCTGCGGCAGTTCAGCGCATCATCTATGGACTCGGCCAGAGACTTGACCTGCCTGGAGAAGGCATCCTCGAGCTCGGTGATGGCATCTGTGAAGTCGGTCTGAGCCGTGGGGGGGGTCCCGGGCAGGGCCCGCTCCGCCCCGTGTTCTGACTGGACCAGCGCACTGATCTTAGTGCCATCCTCTGTCAGTGAGACCTGCTTGCCCTCAAAGTAAGAGCTGTTGACTTTTTCAGGTCCTTCAAAGGAAAACTGCATTCTCATATTGGATAAAACAATTCGCCTGGACATGCGGTTCTCAGACATGGAACTTCTAAGACGTTCAAAGTTCTTGTTCATCTGGTACTGGCGGAAGGCCGTCTGGATGGTGCGGGCAGCATGCCGGGTTATGAAACGCCCCCCATATTTACGCTCTAGCATCTCCACCTGCAGGAAGACATGGAAAAACTGTTGTAAGTGTTCAGAACCTTACATCACTCCTTTTTACTGAACAGTAATCAGTTCATTCATGATCATCATCATGTTAATTGTATTATGAAAGAAAATGCATTTAAGCAGAGTGGAGGAAATCCTTAGTGTTGGCTTTACAGCCAAGTTTGTTGCTATGGTGAATACCCAGGCATATGTAGTCCTCCACCTTTTCTCCCAGGTTACACGTTGTGTTTAGTTTATTTGTTCTCCTCATCAAATCTAAAGTGATCTCCTTCATTTTGTTCGCATTTAAGATGAATCATAACTACATCTTAAAGTGTTCTTGACTCCAATTACAAGCAAGTTCTACAACTTTAAAAGAATATGAAGCAGAAGGATAATTACACTCATGGGTTATTTATGTAATAATCTACAAATAATCCCTCTTGAGAATGACCCTGCTCTAAGGAATAAGTCCATTTTTAACTGCATCCTGCATATAACTGACGTGATAAACCAGTTACTATGATGGTGCTGACTAACACTGCCCTGCATCTTTCAGTCCTTTACCTTTTACACAATGACATCGTTTTTGGCCCACAGACTTGTGGTGCAAAATAGCACTGTCTCCTCGTTTTATGTTAAGAGGCAAGTGGACACAAACCTGCTATGAGGGACATGACGGCCAGTTTCATTCTAACTGGCGACAAATGTCACTGCCTTACAGGAGGATCCGGTGTCCTTTCCACATGATGCAGCTGCATGACCACAAGGCCAGACCACATTTGACAGCTACTAAGAGACTCAGTCTGACAGCTTGTAGTGAGATACTATATAGTCAGCTGCAGATAACTAAATGTGTGTAATAGATACGCGATACATATAACTAAACACAGTTTACTGTAAGCTTGGTCAATTTGCTGCACAAATCTAATAAATAATTCAAGATGTATTTAGTTACATCTGACTAGTTCTCACATCATCTGATGGAAACTGCTTGATCAGTAATCTTGAGTTACTTGCAGTGTTACTTTGTTATGCATTTTAATGAATGGAATACCCAGATGGTAACTTTATACGGTATACGTTTCAGTTTGGGCACAACAGATGACATAAACCTGACTTTCTCTCACCAATGGCTCCCCTACAACATTTATGTTCACTCAAAGTCTGCAGTTGGCTACTATGATTGGTCCAGAAGTTCAAACCATTGTTAAAATACTTTCACACCAGAAACAATGCAATCTGTTTCAGCTTGACTCAAACATAACTAATTTTATTGACTACATTTAGATGTTTAGTTGAAAAAAGACTTAAAGTCAGGACAAAATGAGGTAGATGTAATTACAAACAAGGGACTCTTTTACCTGAACATAAAACATCAAATTTTGTGAATTTATATGTATATTTGTGAAGGTCCATGGGAGATGGAACAGATTCGGTGCGCTCTATATGTTTGATCCAGAGGTTAAAACTAATGAAAACAGGTGTAAGTTTGTCCGTCCTCTCACCTGCTTGTCCTGTAGGTCAGAGGAGAGCTCATAACTCTCCGACAGGGAACGGGAGCGCTTGATGGCCTCCTCCTCGGCCTGTTTGCGGAGGATGGACTGTGCGTGCTGGAGCTTGGGTCTGCGGGGTCGCAGGTGGCCGGGCAGGAAAAGATGACCGTACAGTTGGCTGTCCAGGAGGTCAGGACCGAGCCTGGCGCTGTGGGTCAGCGGGACACAGCCGTAGCCAGCGCTGGGGTCCACAGAGGTGACCACCTCACCGCCCTGGGCATCGCCTTCCACACTGTGACACACAGACACACAAAGAGCACACTCAGTGCACTGAGTCATGGTTTGAGAGTACACAATGCTTTATGTGACAGGTGGAAAAAGTGAACTTTGATACTGCTGGCAGGGTATAAATGTGAGGGAGAGAATTTATAGCAGCAGTCCAGGTGCTGCCCTTCAACTTTACACACTCTTTTTACAATGCATAGAAACCACAGGTCTTTTAAAGAGGAGACATACTGCTTATGAATAAATCGTAACCCATCAAGAGCAACAAAATAGGTCAACAATCTCTAAAATCACCATCGGCAGCTCAATCTTTAGTGACTCAATGTCAGGTGTCAAACAAGATGAAGTAATGTTTTGAAAATCTAAACTGAAACTTATGTGTTTATCCCTATAAAGCCTGATCCAAAAACAAATACAGAGACAATTATTTTTAAGTCTTTACTTTGGCCCTTTAACAAAATATGAAAAAAATATCAAAGAATATGAAAGAAATATGAAAGAAATAATTTTTGAACATTGATCATATATTATCGTGAGATAAGTCAAAATTATTGTCGGAGAGGTACATATTAGGTATATCTGATTGTGTACAACAGGATTTTGAGCAAAGTCTTTCTATCAAATGATGCGAAAGGTATGAAAACATGCAAAACATCTGACCGTATGTATAAAATATGATACATACGGCATTACCGGGATAATGAACTATTCAGGTTGGTTTCTGTCTTAAATAATAAGCAGCTTTGAGTGGTAAGTGGTGCCAGCAGTGGAGTCCCAGCCTCATTCCCTCCTCCAACACCTCTTACATGGATCTTTTTTGCTTTAAGGCTTAAGTTATGCATCCACTTTGATGCAGTCATTTAATGGACAAAACAAGAGTATTACTGTTATATATAGAGAGGCCCTGATCTGACAGCCAATTTTAAAGTTCCATTAAAAACTGTATCTTGCCAGGACTGCATCTTTACATTTTTACTTTCTTTATTTTAATAACAAAATACAATACTTGCTATCTTTGTTAGTATTTCATTTACACAATAATCGACACAGAAAGGCTTTGTGACAACATCTGTCCAGAGACCATCTATCATTGTGCTGTCCCTTACATACTCAGACTTATTTAAAGTTATGTGTTATGGTTAGATAAAAAGTTCAAATAAAAGCCTTTACATGAAAGAGAAACTGGAAACTCAGAACAAACTCATAGCAGGAAACCAATTAGTCATGCAACTGTGCTGTAGACAGTTCGAAAGCAACGTATACGACACTGTGTTTTCAGTTTATAGACTAACTATGATGTATATGTTCAAGAAATCCAGACAAACAGCTTACAAGGGATCACTGTCACCAAGTGTCTGGGAGCTGTTTGGTTTCTTTAAGTAAAATGAGATGGCAAATTGAAAAATATAACACAAAATTAATGGTAAGGTGGCCACAGAATGTATGAACACTTGCACGCTAGAGAAAGGACGGCTACAACTGAAAAGATCTACAATTAATTACACATGGACTCTTTATGTCAGTATATGGTTGTGATATAATTTTGTTCATGATCTATGTTTTTGTAAAACGAGACAGTTTAAGAAATATTTCAGCATTTAATGATTAAAATATCAGAGCATTTAAAGGAAGCTGTTTCTATTGCAAAGTTAGCATAATAAAGAAAAATGACAAGTAGTGTCATGTCTAGAAAATGACGTCAGGTTTAAAGATGTATTTTGGTTTTGTTGTCATGAGACTTCCTGTTTTTTTATATTCACATTTATCTTGTTTCAGGTCACTTACACTACCTCTTGCATCTGATGTATTCCCCCTGTTCCCCATTCTGTGCATTGTGTATATAGAGTTGGTGTTTCTCTTGTCCTGTGCTAGTTTGTCTTGTCCCAGAGTCAGACAACATGAGCCATTTTACTTGCCAATTTCCAGGTCTTGTCTTGTTTTATATATTCTTGTGCATTAGTGTGCATTGTCAATTACTATTCCTTGCAAGAGTAATTTCGATTTTCAACATAAAGAAAGTGTCCTTCCCTCTTAGGAGTGGTCTTCTGTTGAGTTTTGCTTTTGGGTTCAGCTTCATGTTCTCATGTGACTATCGCATATATCTTGGCAGCATGGTAATGTTTAAGTGTTTGGGGTTGAAATCCTATGGTGTCTTCTGTAACCATTAGTAAGTAAGCGCAATATAGAAATATAGAAAAAAAAATTGTGTTCCAATTAGTCTCTCTAGTGTGGAAGTCAACAGATTGTGATCACTCTGTTATGTTATCTATATGTATTTAATGCAGTGAGATGTGCATCCCTATGAAAAAATTCCAAACACTTCACGAACAATATGGAAGAGCATGAGATGGGCATCCAGCTGAGCATTTCTTCAAAAAATGTAACATTTGTACTCTGGACCAACATATCCATGAGATAAGCTGCCGACCTGAGCACAATTCACAGAATCATTATAAAATCAGACATTTCAAGCTTTATCAGCTTGCCATGTCAGTGGTATTTTTCTCAGGGATCATTTTTGGAAGGTGTAGCGGGCATCGGCCATGGATTACTTTGCAATACCGTGTTTCTTGTGGGATTTGCTGCATTCCAGCCAAATCGTAGTGAGGTAAGCTGAAGGCTGTCTAGGGATAAGATCTCTCATTAGAGAAAACGTCCTCTCTTACCAAGCTGGATGCTCGATATAAAAGCCCTGCTGCATCTTCATTCTCCTCTTTGTGCATCCTCCTCACATTTTTAAAGGAACTAATCTAATCAAAGAGACAGAAAGTAGTTTAATTAGACAGAAGGATAGGGCATAAAGAGCATGCCCAAGTAGAGTATGTAAATGGAAATATCTATTTGTTTAGATTGAGATAAAGCTTAAAGAGATGAAAATGCGTCACTCTTTATGAAGCAAGCAGGCAGTATTCAGCTGGAATTTATCAAATGTTTATGCAAATTATTTGCTTTAAAAATGCTATAAGATTATTGAATGACAGAAAAAGCCCAAAGCAGACAAAGAATACAAAAACACACACAACAAAGCAGGAATAATTTCACAGACAAAGGTATTTTAGCTTGTTTGTCACAAAATAAAGACATTATAGATTCCAAATAGAACCCATTCCTCCTGCTGTGACACAGAAGTTGACTCATTTTAGCCATCCATGACTTACTATGCCATCTCTATCAAACTGCACAGAGAAGGGCAGAGAGGAGGAGATGACCATGGTCAGAGTGGGCCACTAACTCTAACTTCTACAGACACTCATCCAGCATCATTCAAATCAATACCAGGAAATCCCATTTCAAAGCAGATGTACAAAAGAGGAGATGGGAAAGTCCAAAGTTGGAGTCAACACATGGAAACTCATTCTGAAGCAGCTGTAAATTGCAATTTGATAAATGGATAGATTAAACATGCGGCATCTTTGTCCACTGCTATATAAGAACTGTTATTCTATTACAGGGAGAGGTTTTAGTTATGTTTTAGGCTAAAATGTGTTTGAAATAGATAACAATTCCTGAAGGAGCCCTGGCTTAACAGGTTCTAAAGCTGTAACTGTTTAGTGGGGCCAGCCCCTAGTGGAAATGCAAAAATACCATGTAGAGCCTTGCTGGCTGAGTAAGTACTGGTGGAAAAGCGCCAATAGTGAAGTTGTATTTTCTAAATAAAAAGTGAACAGGAGACATCATCAGAAGAAATGATAACTGACATTGTCACTATTCAAAAAGCTTAAGAAAGTGTGCATGCTACATGAACGTAGCATGATAAAGAGCCCAACATTTAGATGACAAAGCTGACTTGGCTCAGGTTGGTGGTTGACAGGAATCCTAGTCTTCAGCAATAAATGCTTTATGTAATGAACAGTAGACGCTCAACATTGACCCTAATGATTCTTATCATGTTTGTGTGGACACATCGGACATCCATTTTTGAAGTTGGCCTATCCATACTAGTTCACAGTAAAGACGATATGATGCGAGGACACACTGGTGTCACCACCACCTGGAAGATTCCCTCTGTGCTGCTGAGTGTCCACGTCAAGGAGTCCCTTATCACTCGGCCCTGTCTCAGTGATCTATTATTTGAACGTCCACTCACAAACAGCCAGGCCTTTCTTTTTCTTTAGTTTTTCTCTTTACACAAACTGACAAAAACAACTGAAAGCTTTGCTAAAACATGACTCTGCTGCATTCAGCAAGAAAAAAACACGATTACAAAATATGCCTCTCCATCAACTGCTGTATCGTAGCAAAAAATCCGCCACATTAAAGGCAATAAATCCAGCAGGAACAACAGTTTTGCTACACATGAATAAATGAATTCTCAACCAAGCATGGCAGTTGCCCCCTAAAGGGCTGAACATAACAAAATGTAAAACCTGTAGAGCAAGACTAATTCAGTTCCAAAGCAAAGACTGAGAACATTTCTATGGCAGCAGCAACTGTACACTCACCAGCCATCTGAATCCAGCTCCAGTAAAGACTGGGTTCTGTCTGTGGTACACTGCAGACACCACATGTTGTCCCCTAAACCACTACCATACACCCGTTACCCATCCGATCTCAGTACCTCCATTCCTGGGATGAATATAGTGTTCCCTGACTGGTTGCACTTTGTCCTGACATTCAAATGTTCCTCTCTTCTTGGACACCTCTCTATTTCTGGTGTTGCTTCAAGAGGGTTTTGAGGAGGAGCATTAGCAGGAAAAGGGAGGGAATTCCTCCAGAGGAAACCGGGTTGTTTGGCTGTGGGAGCAGTGGGTCCCCTGGAGCTGAACCATCTCAAACAGGATGGGACAGTAAATATGAAAAAAAAAGATGAGTGAGAGACTGATAACAAGAGACAGAGAAGATGTGGGCTGGTAAAATTCCTGGATACACTGATATAGCTGATGTGGATGTGAGCTTTACCTTCATTATCAGTACCTTCAGACTTCAGCTCCATATGGAAGACATGTTCTGTAACCGATGATCACCACTTCACTGTTGCTGATCAAAGGCCTGAGAGGCATGTATAAACTGATGCTATCAGGACAGTCTTCCATGGTACAGCGTCAAAGCAACAGCCGGTCAGCCAGCTGACCGCCAAACTGTCCTTTAAAAAACATCAAAGTTAAAGGGAAAGTTCGACTGCTGCCTCCGGCCCAATCCTGTTCCCACCCCTGCATTGTCTAAAAAAGCAAAGTAATGAGAGGGTGCTCCATGTCTGTCTGCTGACATATTGCTGAAACAATGGGCGTGTACCGCACCAACTTCTAGATTTTATCGACTCAGCGGAGCACCATGATAACAGAGCTAATAGGAGTAGGGAAGAAATTCACAGCCCTTCTGAACATACACGCTCTGCCTCTATGTGCCTAAGAAAGAAAAAAACTCTTAATAGCTCAGTGTAATGTGGAAAATACTCCTGATAAGAGGATGTAATTGATACAACTGAAAAGGTAGTTAAAACTCAATGAGCCATAATAGAATGGAACGAAGAATATTTCCCAAGTCCCATATGGAGAAAGTTCATATGGAGTGCAATAGAAAGTGATATGAAACATATGTAGAAAACAAACCTTAAAAAGACCAACAAATGTTTTCATGACCTTGTTCAATAGATCTTAACTCAAGCACTCAGCCTCACACTAAAAGAGCCAGCTGAAATCCTAAAGCATTTCAAGCTTCCTTTTAAAATGTTTTTCCACACAGCAAATGTCTCTTATAATGTATTATCAGACATGGTTTTAGGCAAGTCTGCCACCATTTCCTAAGGCAGAAATGCTAGACAATGTCACCAAGAGTTTTAGAGTCATTGTGGAGTGTTTTGTAATCAAGTTATAACGTCACAGCAGCAAAGTGATTTGAGATGATGGAGTCTACACTACATCATCTCCAATAAGGAAAAATGGATGCTATATGTGATATGAATAAAATCTAAGCATCATTTCCTGTCATGTTCCTGTTTCCTCAGGTCATTGGCGGGTATCATAAAGCTGATGAGTATTTTGAGATCTAATGAGGCACCAGGAGAGAGTGCCAAAGACTTTGGGGTAATTTCGTATCTTCACCAATCTAAAGACACTTTATTTAATCATGGCTAGGATTAAACTTTTCATTAGCGGAGCATAATCAAGGTAGTTCAAGGTAAATTTGTAATATTTTAGTCTATAAAAACAGAAATGTAACTGCTGACCTGGCATGGAAATCATTTGAATGGCCTTATTTTAGGGCTTTACAAAGAAATGGTTTCATGGTTCATTATTTTGATAGAGCAAATTGCATGCACGTTACTGCACTGCTATCCTATTAGTTATTAACTTAGATTAAAAAAGAAACTAAATCAGCTCTCCTTCCAAAATAGCCGAACACTGGTGAGCCAATGATTTCAAAGTTGTATTTACTGTGAGACAACTGTAAGTCCAGTCTCTTCTAAGGACTTTTATTCCACCTGCTAGATTCCCAGCTGTCACATTCTGTCTAGACTCTAAAGCGCAGACCACATGAACAGTCATGCTCAAATAAATCCCCACAGAGAGTGTCACAGCTCTGCTTCAATTCTAACTACAAGTTGAGATCTTAATCCAATTCTACAATCCCTTTCAACTCCTACCACAATAAACAAACCATGCGACCCTTCTGTGCCCACATCCTTCCACATACAGGCTATAGACGTAGAGAAGCATAAGAGGAGATATACTTTGGCAGGGACAAAAATAGTCATTGACAGACACTGCTTTTCTATTTCGCTTGATGAGTATATTGAGCAATCTGAGAGAGTGGGGTATCTGAGGATAAGTGTGTCTCCAGATGCCAGAGTTTACCAGTGAAAACAAAAATGCTGATTGGAAACACAAGTAGACCTAAGACATTCAAAATGTATACACTCTTTGGAACGAAACTTTTAACAAGGAAGAAAGAACCCAGACATGAAGCCTTTATCACCTACTCCCGCTTTACAAATCTGTGAGGTAATTGTAAAATTAAAATCTGGACCTTCGGTGTAAATGAATTATTCTAATAATAATGTTCTAATAATTCTGTCTAATATTATCTTCAACAAATATAAAGAAATGATTGCAACCACTGGTGAGTTTGTCACCTTGTTTTGAGAAGGCTACCATTCCAGACTGAGCTCAGAGTTTCCTTGAACTTGAACTTACACTGTAAGATACCTATTGCAATATATACATATTTGAAACCAAATGTGTTTTTAGAGATATAGGGAACATTTTTATTGAAGTTATTCAAAACCCTTTTCCATTACTACAAATATAATTTTCATTTATTTACATTTGGTAATTTAGCTGACATCATTTAAACTTTAAACAGGAAGAAACCCTGTTGTAAAAGCATTAAGCACTGAATCTTTTAACCAACATAGAACAAGCACAACAGATGGAAATTAAGTGCAAATTAGGCCTGTCAACCCATGTAAGCATTATCCATGAAAAAATAGAGAATCATTTGTTTGTTTGCAGTCTTAATTTGGCATCTAAAATAAATATTTTTAAAAATATTTTTAATATTCATAATTTATTAGTCAAAACTATTGACAATTAGTCTTCTGCGTGCTATTATCAGGTATGTCTGGTTGTGTACAACAGGGTTTTAAGCAAGGTTTTTACCATTAAATGAAGCAAAATGATGCGAAACCTTTAACAAACCGTATGAATCAAATATGGCATTATAGGTGGTCTTAGAAGAGTCATGAGAAAGTAAAGGATGCTCCTCTGATTGCATAATAGAAAGAGGGGGAAGGTTGTGGTCAACCAGAGAAGTAAAGCTTAAAACTGAGATTGTGGCATTTTTTAAAAGCGCTAGCGCATCATCTTTCAGAAAACATCACATCCTGTATAAGGCCACATCTGAAATAAGTTCATATTGACAGGAAGACAAACTGTCCTTATACAGTGACTAAGCCCCCGTTGCTACACATATACTCCAAACTGTACGTGGCCCAAGCAGGGTCCAGCAGGCAGTTGGCTCTCTAAAGCTGTTTGGCTGCCGTTCGGCCTTTTAATCCCAGAGCTCAGAGCCCACCCACGTGTGGCCTTCACAGGCACACAGCGGCCGGCCGCCCAGCCACAGGCTCCACACAGCAGAAACAGAGGATTAAATGCACATGCTTATTGCTCTGTACAGAGAACACACGGAACAATTACTAACTTAAAGACAAAAGTCATTCACATGCACTTTTTATGAGCTCACTAAATAAAATTATACACCCACACAAATTAAAGGCAGCAAGCACCAGTCAGGAGATGGCAGATAAAAACACTAATTCTCTGTTACTGTGTGCACATCAGAATTTGTTCAGGGTTCATGTAGTGCTGCTGCTGATCCCTTGACCATGGTGCAATTATTTTATTATATCTCCTCCGTGGACGCTTCTTCCATCCTGTTTCTGACCAGACCATAAGATCTCAATGCAAACCTACAGAATTAACACAATACTGTAGTTACAGATAAATCTTGGGCTGCCTTAAGCACTTACAGAATAGTTTATTGCTGCCATTTCAATCAAATTAATTGAAATTACTGAAAAACTCTCCATTTTCTGTTTTCTAAGAACAACGAATATCAACGTATTAGTCTGTCTGATTTGGTCAAGACATTGCATTCCAATAGCTCACTAAATTTGGGTTTATTATTACTGATGGAAATAATGAACGAATGAACCAAAATGATCCTTTAAGTAATCCAGACAGATCGAGTTCCACAGTATGGCCGAGCATTTTTTCTTCAACACACATCTCCAGATTATGTTATTTTCAGGTCTGAGCGCCATGCAGACAATCAGACTTGTTACAGGACGTTTTTTTTGTTAGATTTTCTGCTAGGTTCAGGTGGTCACCTGATGCAGTATCTACATCCATCCATCTATACATTATTGTAACTGCTTATTCCCTGATGGGCTAACGGGCACTATCTTTATGTTTTCCATACTTTCTTTACAAATAATCCAGATGTACCAACATTGACAGATCCAGTTTGACTTGCAATGAATATGTATTAAACCTGCAGTGATTTAGACCTAAGGGCAGACCTATTGACCTATTGCCTCAACATTAATAACAAACTTTTTTGGGTTTCTGGAGGAGATCTGGCTGAGAGTGCAATGAGCAAACATGGCAAGACATCATCTTATTGTAAACAAAACAAAACACTGAAAGGATAAAAGAAGAGCAAGCAGACATAAATCAGAAAACAAAACACAGGTTTCACACAGAACTGAGTTTCTGGTATGGACATAACAATACACAGTTTCATCTGTGTAGTTTTGACCTGATCAGATTAGTTCAGTAATCAAAATAAAGGAAAATTTGGACTATGTGCATAATTAAAAAAAATATTCTTAATAAACATTTTGAGGATCAATGTATTCTTAAATGTTGACAAAGTGTGATATTGTTAAGAAGGAAATAAACAATGTTATTAAACATCAGGGTTCTTGATACACACACCTTTTGGCTTCTAGAATCAGAACCAAGGCATCTTTTGAAGATATTCCTTCAATAAGTCCATGTACAGGTA